ATTTTTAGAACGAGAGTTAAGAAATTATTTTATTTTCAAGTCATCGCGGACCTTTCATACTGAAGGCAATATTCGACGTTCATTAAGCGATAAACATCATATACCAAAAGCTTTAGACATTCGAGGTGATCAATTCCAAATATTAGCATTAGACGTTCAAAGCAATATGTGCCAAACATTATATGCCGACAGCATTTTTTTTTTTTTGATGCTAAGAGTCTACAACTCAAGGCTTATTCTGCCGAGTAAGACATCAAAAGCATTGTACATCAGGTCGGATAGCGACCGTTTATATATCTTTTGAGAACTAATTTCTAACGACCGCAGCTAATAAAATACATGAAATAAATTGAGTGTTTCAGACTTGGATTTCGACGAAATGATCATCACATCGTACTTATCTCAATACTTCGACGATCACCTGATCAAATCGTTCCCATGCAACGTATTGCCCGCTCTTATATCTAAAAAACGCTGGTTTACAGGTACAACATATATATCTAATTATTTTGAGCAATTTACTTTGCGTGCTATGAGCGTTGACACTAAAACTATAGTAATAGAGAAACCATCCATTATATAGAACAATGAATTTCAAATTATATCATTACTAACAGATATCGTCGCGATAGAAATAGAGTATACAATTTCGAATTTTCCCGAGGAACGGGAAATAAGATTTTTCTACGATGAGATAATATTTTGCATAATTGCAAAATAAACTGTAAGCGCGAGATCAACACATTCTTATCAAATGCCATACATTTGCAAATAAAGGAGTTCTCGTGGAATACATTTGCGTGAACGAACAAGCATACAACGGCGCAATGCTGTCATTTTATTTCAGTCACAAAAAGTCGGAAAAGAAAGAGTTGTCTCATTGTACCGATTACTGTATGTCTTCATTCTGTAATGTTATTTCCATAATTGTCCTATAATTCTATATAGAATATTTGTTAAAAGTCGGAAAAAAGGCTTATCTTACAGTACCGATTATGTAGCTATACGCAGATTGTATTTTACCTGAACATCACTCGTATACGCAATCTTTATCTTCATTCGGTAACGTTATTCCTATATAGAATATTTGTTAACTTGACAGTCTTCTTGTCGATGATAATGCAAAGCTTTTTGCTATGATCCAGTTATTATAATACGATGACAGAACGAAAGTTAAAACACAATCCAGTAGCCGACTTTGAACTTAACTTTCCTCGTTGTTATTATAATTGACATCTTGTATCCCAAAAGCCATCAAAGTGTCTAAATAGTAAAAAGTGACTTAAAACATATTACTCATTAACCGTAAGCACTTGCAATGTGAACGAAAAGAGCAAAAGTTGCTTTGTAGAGGATGAACATTTGTTGTTTAACGAGTTATTATCGACTGTAAGCCAACGGCGTGTATATACGTAGTTACCCGCTTGTAGTTAGCATCGTTTAGAGTTTGAGTTTCGAATGCGATTTCAGTTTGCATGAAAATTTTTCAAGTGACGTCAAGTGTAAGCCTGCTTTAATGGCTCAATTCTGGTCATAAAATTAGGATTGGTGCGGCTGGCGTTACTCCAAATTAAATCCTTGTATGTGAAGAACCAATAAAAGTTTTCGAACAAATATGGACCAATGGAATTGCAGAATCGTCGGAGAAATTTGCTATGTGAATTCGATGATGTGTGTACAATCAATCATTACATGACAGTGGTATTAAACGTTACACATTACTATTTTAAAATGCAATCTAGTATTAAAACTAAATATTAAGTGACGTGAAATTGTATGTCTATGAAAAAAACCTAACAAAAACATTCACAAGTAGGTCTAAAGAAATTCTAAAAAACATATCTTCAATTTAAATCCGTTTAGCCAGAACATTTGTTATTACTGCCACACTGTTGACTGCAGCATTGTGCATTGGATGTACAAGCTTTACCATTTTCAATACACGTGCTGCAACTGAGTGTTGTTGTAGTAGTTACAGTGCTCGTACTCGTAACGGTGCCGCCATTAACAGTGCTCGTAATGGTTGTTGTGCCGCCATTGACAGTGCTTGTAACGGTTGTTGTGCCACCATTAACAGTGCTTGTAACGGTTGTTGTGCCACCATTAACAGTGCTTGTAACGGTTGTTGTGCCACCATTAACAGTGCTCGTAACGGTTGTTGTGCCACCATTTTGAGTAACGGTGCTTGTTTGAGTAACAGTGCTTGTTTGAGTAACGGTGCTTGTTTGAGTAATGGTGCCCGTTTGTGTGCTCGTAACGGTGCTTGTTTGCGTAATGGTGTCTGTTTCTTTCTCAGTGCTCGTAACAGTGCTTGTTTGAGTAATGGTGCCCGTTTCTGTGCTCGTAACGGTGCTTGTTTGCGTAATGGTGTCTGTTTCTCTCTCAGTGCTCGTAACGGTTGATGTCCCGCCATTTTGAGTAACAGTGCTTGTAACGGTGCTTGTTTGAGTAATGGTGCCCGTTTCTGTGCTCGTAACGGTGCTTGTTTGCGTAATAGTATCTGTTTCTTTCTCAGTACTCGTAACGGTTGATGTCCCGCCATTTTGAGTAATGGTGCTTGTTTGAGTAATGGTGTCTGTTTCTGTGCTCGTACTTGTTTGCGTAATGGTGTCTGTTTCTGTTTCAGTGCTCGTTACGGTTTGAACACCTGTAGTAACGGTGCTGGTACAGTCACTAACAGTGTCTGATTCTGTAATGGTGTCTGTCTCTGTTTCAGTGCTCGTAACGGTTTGAACACCTGTAGTAACGGTGCTGGTACAGTCACTAACAGTGTCTGATTCTGTAATGGTGTCTGTCTCTGTTTCAGTGCTCGTAACGGTTTGAACACCTGTAGTAACGGTGCTGGTACAGTCACTAACAGTGTCTGATTCTGTGCTAGTTTGCGTAATGGTGTCTGTTTTTGTTTCAGTGCTCGTAACGGTTGATGTGCCGCCATTTTGAGTAACGGTGCTTGTTTGCGTAATGGTGTCTGTTTCTGTGTTAGTTCGCGTAATCGTGTCTGTTTGAGTTTGAGTTTGAGTAACGGTGTCCGTTTGAGTATTAATAATGGTTTCGGCACAGTCAGTGACGGTTTTTGTTGAACCAGCTTCAGTAACAGTGTCCGTTTGAGTCTGAGTTTGAGTCTGAGTTCGAGTCTGAGTAACGGTGTCTGTCTCTGTTTGAGTTTCGGCACAGTCAGAGACGGTTTTTGTTGCACCAGCTTCACTAATGGTCTTGGTCTTGGTCGTGGTCGTGGTCTTCATTTTGGTCTTGGTTTGGGTCTCGTGCTCGGTCTTGGTCCTGGTCCTAGTTACGGTGGGAGTATGTTGGCATTGATGTCTGGTAATCGTTACGACATAACTACACTTATTGTTTGCTTCAACAACGTTCAATGCTAAAAAACAAAGGAAACCGGCACAAAGTAATAGTGTACGGAAATACATCATGCAATCTATTTATGGAACTAAGGATACTAACGAATATTAAGGAATATTGTTAATGTGGAAAAAAAATTTGGGCGAGAAGTCTTCTCTATTTATATAAAAAATTTTAAAATGCGGTATTGTAAACATATTTTACAAACAAACCTCACTACGCTACAATTGAGAATGTATTGGTCGTCTTGTTAATTACTCGCAGAAAATAATAAATAATGGAATTTTTGACTTTGTTTATTTCCGTCCTGATTGGCCGACTAAATATACTGGATTGTGTTCAACGGCAAGAACGAATCGAAATTTTGTACAGACATTTGCGTAGTAAACACAAACACGCCATTTTTAATAGTAGTTACACAAACTTAATTATTGGCTTTAATGTTAACATAAGATTACACGATCGGTCAATCGCGTACTGATGAGCTTTAATCGAAAACAAAGCACGGAATAACTATTATAATAATATCCCCCTGTTAATATTAAGTTCTAACATTTTACGGTTACAATATAATTTGTTAAAACGTTATACAAGATTAAAGTTAAGGTTTTTGTAATTTTTAACGTAAAATTTTTTTCAAGATAATTGCAGTTTAGCTTTATGACACTGATTTTCCAATGGATAAATGCATCAGTAAACATACTGTGAAAGTTCTGCGTGGAATATGTGCATATAGAAATGGACAAACGACAATTTTACTATAAAAATTGCGTGTTTATAGCTTGGCAGATTTCTTCCATTTGGGTAAATAGAATAAATTTGTTGCACTTTGCAGTACCGATCCCTATAGTAAAATTGTCGTTTGTTTTATAGCTATCTTTTCCTATATGCACGCATTCCACACAATGTGTTCCTTGATGTATTATCCATCGGAAAATAATTGTCAAAGTTAAATTACAACTATCTCGGTTATCAAAATAGGCTCTTTCATTCGCAGTTGAAAAGAATTTTATGTCAAGGACTACAAACCTTAACTTTATTTTGGTATAACGTTTTAGCAAATTATATTCTAACCGCAAAACATTAGAACTTTTAATATTACACTCACCTATCAAAATTATTTCCGGATTGGTAAAATTACTATTAAAACATATAAAATCGATACTTTCAAAGTCTTTTTTCACCCACTTTTGTAGACAATTGCCAATCAAATTTGCGTCATTCGAAAGTCATTTGATTGTAGTTTATGTAAACATGCATAATTTTTTTATTCATATTTTAGTTACAATTCCAGCGTAATGTGTTTTACCCCATCGAACAAATAAATAATAGTTATATGATCCACAATAGTGAACCGATCAATGGGGTGAAACCCATTACGCTGGAATTTCGTAACTAGGATATGAATAAAATATTATACATGTTTTCATAAACTACAATCAAATGACTTTCGAATGACGCAGCAGTTGTCTACAAAAAGTGGGTGAAAAAAGACTTTGAAAGTATCGAATTTTATATGTTTTAATAGTAAATTTTACCAATCCGGAAATAATTCTGATAGGTGAGTGTATTACAATTGCTGTTATCTTATTAATGATTCATGTTAACATTAAAGCCAATAATTAGATTTGCGTAACTACCATAAAAAAAATTATTCTAGGTGTATAAATGTTTATGCAAAGCAAAAATTTATAATTATATACACAGCGATCAGTTTATCTAAATAATTGTTAATTATTGTGATCACCCTCCTGCCCTAATAGGAAACCCAAGTGTTCGGTTAAATTTGTCATCGTTGCACAGTATCAGTATTATTTGCAGATCATGTAACATTCTTAAGTGCACATCCCTCGCACTATATTACCGTATTAGTGTTAACATTCAAAAAGTATTAAATCGTACGATTACAGATCATCCTGCCAAGTCACACAATCCGACAGCCGATAAGTAAACAACCAATAATATTCTTAGGTTTATATGATATATATATATCCATCGTTCTCGCATATTAATGGTAGCGAGCAACTGTATGTTGCATAAATTACCTTAATCGCATACCTTGTATTTCTAGCAAAATTAATTTGATGTCATCGTACTGTTTGGATATGTCGTATGTAAATCCCGTCACCATGTAAATCCCGGATTTGCGTATGTAAATCATGGACCCCGCATTTACATATTAATATGTAAATGCCGTCAAGGACCCTAAAACCGCATTTACACGTATAAATCCCGTCGAATCCCCAAAATCAAATTCGCTGTTTGCTATTATTATCTTGATCTATTTTCAATAAACATTAAGTCTTCTTAAACGTTAAATCTGCATGGGTTGAACTAAGGCTACGTTCAGGCACTTATTCTTTGACTTCCATTTGCCAGAAGTATAAAACTGATTTTCCCCCGGAAAGACAGTAGTGATCATAGGAAGGATCGTCGATCGATTTATGTATATTATCGCTTACATATAGTCTGCATAATCTAGGCTAAGTTATCGAAGAAAGATTATAATAGGATGGCTAAATAACAATTCGATAAAAGTATTGGTAACAATCAATAAGTTTACGCATAGTATTGACTATTATTATTATAGACATTAATCGCAGATTGGTATGTCTGATCATAAAACATTCGAAAAACTATGCATACAGAAATACAGAAAGATTGCTCCCGAGTACAAAGAAGTTTTCTGAGCCGCCAAAGTAAAATTACAAACCGTATTTTTTGGTCTATAATATAAACATTCAACAAAACCACACATAGAATTGTTTGATTGGCTCAAAATGTTGATAGACATCGTAATAATATGACGATAGTAAACAGTACGCTACTTATATTATCTTCCCATTTCTAGTTTTACTTAACCATAACCAAATCTCCATTACTACAAAGACAGTCGAAAATATGGTAGTCACAAAGTAGTGACTGTTAGTTCACACGATCAGACCTCCAAAGTTAGTGAATGACGCAATCAAGGCAAAGTGCATTTGATACAGTTGTGAGGATCAAGAGCCTAAGATGACGTATTCCTCTCTGAATTTGCTGCGGAACGATAGGTGTCACCAACAACGGTACACAGATGATTAGAATGTAAGACAAGTGCCGAACGGTGATACGGGCAGCAAATATTTGCTGCTAATGCAGTAAAGTAGTACCGGCAGCGATGGTAGATTAGTAATTAGAAATTAGAACGATGCTAAAAATAGATCAATTAGTAGACGATAAAGTATATAAGCAGCTTAGAAGTCGTTTAGCATCGGTGTGTTCAAGTTAGTGTGTTCATCAGTGTTCTCAGTGTTCTTAGTGTTCCATGTTCTCGATGTTCAAGATCTAACATTTATTCCTTTATTTCTTATTAATAAACGAGTATCCATTTACTCTGAAATGATAAATTCTTTTCCTAGAATTTTCCGTTATATTCGTAAAGCATTAATCCGTATAACGGCAAGATCGGTTGTAATACTTGTCTCGCAATCGATCGAGTGGCATTAGGATAGTTAATTATTATTTCTCAACGCGTTAATTTCTTATTAAGACCCCGACCTACAGACTACCACCGGTAGAGAGTAGTTGTGTTTCTCGAGAATAATTAATTATCTAGGATTAGTGTGTGCAATCCGTATAAGAATACGTCAGCACCGAAAAGCCTAAATTAAAAGGTCACTAACTGTTTGTTACGATTTAGCTATCGCTGAGGTGAGCCACACTCCTACGACGGCGCAGCTAGATCCCAAACCGAGACAGTAGTTATCCGCTCTCCCATGACTATTGCCTCGACACTTGTAATTATTCCATACATGTATCTAATGAATGCCCATTTTGGCTCATCAGAATGGTAACCACAAACTATCAAATCATCACATTTAATATATCAGGATCCTCCTTTTTGTCTTTTATATATACTCTGCCTTATCTCTGAGAACAAGGTTTGCCAGTAAATTGGTCTTGCCTATACTAATACTAATACCACTCTTTCCACTAGCTAGCATAGAGAAAGGCCATGTCATTGCTGGATGTCAACATTTCGAGATGATTTGTGCTTTGTGGCCTCATCCATATCCATAATAATAAGGAATAGTTTCATAGCAATAGGTGGTAATTTTGAATTCTTCTGCATAATGAATTGCTATCTTTGTTTTTTATCAAAGTGTGTTACATAATGTACCATTTGTCAAGCGGTTTTCTTTGCGAGGCGGCTGCGCTCCCTCGCCGTAACAATAGGGCCCTGTAGTGTCAATGCTTATATAATAGAGGTCTTCGAAAAATTAGACTTTTCATATTAATATGTTTTATTGGTGATAAACATTGTCCAACTATACTACAACTGTGACGATTTGAGTCACGTGTGTGAATTTAGAGATATTGCACGTGCAGAATATAGTAATAGAGTGTAAATTAATTTTAATGTTGGCGAGGGAATAATCTAGCTTTTAAATTTCTTTCTGAGACAATGGCCAAATACACTACCAACTTTGATAAGCCTCCCGAAGAATGGAGCTTCCTTGGCTTCTACCAACACCGCCATAATGAAAGGAACTTTACCTTTTCCTTCATGAAAGAGTCGTATATCCTCAAGAAATGCCTCGAGGAGCGCCAAGAAATACCACTGGCCAAAAAGCTGGCAAAATCATTCAAGGTCTGTTTGATTCCTCTTCATTCGTTGTAAAGCCGTATGAGTTTCCGCCAAGTTTATCTTCCACGACTATGAGGACGCTCCGCGCGACGTTCCTCTAATGCTCCGCGTGAATGTTGTGATCGGTACGAAATATTATTCTTTTACCAGAACTGTAAAGATCTTACGTTAACAAATTTCGTCTCTTTTGGTAGAATCATCGACAGCGAAATGAAGAAATCGATTCTTTCTGGAACAAAGTCGAATTTGCACATCTAGAAGAACAGAGAGCTTTGCGGACGGTAAGTATATGTTTTCTCTGGATTTTTATAAGGTTTTACTAAACGGTGTACTTGCACAGAAACGATGCCATGTCAATATAAGCAGCAAGACGCAAGATATGATGGAGAACATAGCCGAAGATACCGTGGAAGCACATTTATTAACAAAAAAAGTGAGTCTAACGGTACAGAAACTCTATTTACCTTGTTTATAACATTATTGTTTTCGTAGTACTGTAGTCACTGGACATTTTCCAAAATTATTGACCAGTTATTTCTTCCGAAAATTTTCTTGCTAAAACGTATCTAAATTTTAGCGGAGGATTGAGGAAGATGATGAGAGCGTGGCTAAGCACACTCGTGATATTCACTCATCGCTTGGGTTAGATAAGACAGGAGTTTCTGGTGAAGCTATGAACAATACGTTCCCGATATCTAAGTATCCAAGAGATGGAGAAGACAGAAGAAGGTTTAAAAGCAATTAGTGATTTAGGAGAGATTAGAGAAAAAGGAGAAAAAAGAAGGACAATGAAAAGAGAAGGATTCTGACCTTGATTTTGAATGTATTTTTTAATTACTTCTACTGAAACTCCTCCTTGTATTCAGTAGTGATATGACTCAGTATTGTGACGATGATTATTATAACACCTGCACTTCATCAAAGCGAATCGGTAAAGTTTGGCGGCATCCCGTTCATATGTAACATGATATTTTAATTCGTTTGTTGATACTACACAACGAATAAACTTTGCAGAGACAGATGCGTCTGTACTTAATCAGATTAGCAATCAAGAGACGAACAACGAGTCGAACGAGATTGAAGGAGATTCTGATGGGGAAGTAGATGAAGAATTGGACGAGCAGTTGACGTTCGATTATGACTTTCTAGAACGAGAGATAAAAAAAGAACGTGAAGTTGAGGTACGATTAAATTGAATTTATTATGTTTTTGTTATATCTCATTATTATTTCTGTATTATAGTGGGTTGCAGATACGATAAATGTAACGTCAAAATTTAAGAAATATCAATTGGACCTCGTATACGAATTGAAGAAACGGCTTAGGAAGCTCACATGGAATGATACAACTGACATCTTGTTAGTATTGTGAACCTTAAACTTACTATTACGTGATTGCATCTTGTATTTCTGTGAGACATGCTATGCTCATATTACCTTCTACATTTAGAGCTATAGCATCGATAATGATAATTGATTGGCCGTGTCGATATGATTGTTTTACCTTCGAAGAATGGAAGTTAATTACGAACAACAACCCTTATAAATTGAAGAAACCACTATTTGATGAATGCCTTTCTTCTTCATTGAATGATGCTCTGTATAAAAAAAGCGTTGGATTCGATGTCGATTTCGAACCTAAGAAAGGTCTTAAATACGGGATTGTAATTAAGAAAATATTTGATTATGTGTAAGTTAACTTTTTCTTAACACAATATTAATATATTTGGTATTATGTAAAACAGTAACGGCATAAGCTCACAAATGTTTGCTTGATTTTTAGCTCTGACGACCTTCCATTATTTAGCCCGACCAAAACCTCGGAAGACGAACACCGCTTCCTCTTTCTTGATCCATTACTTAAACCGATTTTCAGCAGGCCATACACACCTTATGAGATCAAACTAAATTGGGTTGTTAATGCATCTAAGAAACGCCCTGATTTTTTATGCCATGTTGATAATGTGCCCATACTAAATTCAGAGGTAAAACTTTTGGGTTTTACTAACTTACAGAAAAGCAAAGATTTTATTAAGGCGTGTTATAAAGCTAAAAAAAGTATTGGCCAAATGCTAGATCAGAAGGGAGGACCATATCAGTCAATTTTCTTGGTAAAATCTAGAAACCAATAGCTTTCTGGAGTATCTTTTGGAATAATTGCCCTTCTTATTCTTGCGACTTACTTTTACTAGCAAATCACTCAAAATCCTAACCCAAACATCCAAGCTTAAGCTTTCTTATCAAATGGGGCAGACTGCAACAAAACCAGACAAAGTGAACATTCTATTATGTGACATAATAAGAGGCTGATGTGGCTGAAGTTAACTAATTTGGCTAATAACATTTTGGCTGTGCTGAATTGATTTTGAATTGCATTTTTTAATTAATTGTTATACTAAATGTAACTGACACTCAAGAGAAATTCATTTCAAAAAAAGGATGATATGATAGTAAAGACATTCCCAATGTTTAAGATTTAAATATTACAAATGGTCCATTGACAATTTCTTGACTCTTATTACACCAGAATTAGATGCTTCGAAACAAATTTTGAACCTTTGAAAACCTTTACTTTATTCATTTCAATCCTGCTATTCAAACATATGGTGTAACTTATCATCCATGAAAGGCTAACTAAGATTTGATGACACAGCTCTGTGCAAAGTTGCTATGTATTTAAAGACTTTTCCTTGTTCCTTTTGAGAAGTTTGAAGAAGGCAGTTGGCCGCGAACCCAATGTCGCAATATACCAAGTACTACACTCTGTTCTAGTTCAGCAGTATACATCTTGCTTTGGTAGTAACCCTCCTCGTCAACATAGTAGAACGTCCAACGCGTTCCATCTGTTAAGCAGCCGTGGATTGGAGATCTACAAGGCCATATTGTTAGTGAAGAAACTAGAAATTAGAACTTTATTTTAAACGATGAACAGACCTGTATTTTTGGTGGAGAGCCAGCATTTGTCCCAATGCCTCTCCTTCACCCGCAGCGAACGCCTCATCTCTTTTTGCCTCAATAGTGCAAAATGTAGGCGATTCCACAATACTTGTTCCTTGCTTCAACTTATCTGAAGGATGATCAGAAATAATCCGTGTCTTAGGGCAAATAATATATGACATACTTACAGATAACCTGTTCCTTCCTGTTAGCGGTAATGTAATCGATAGAGCCAGTCAATTGCAAGTCGTCGCTGATTCGAACAGGTTTTACATAATACTCTGGATAAACGGCAAGTCTATCCGTAGT